AAAAGTGGGCATATACTCTTGAACAGGTATTGCTGTGTCAAAGACGCAAACTGGGAAGCAATTAAGGTGCTGCAAAGAATCCCAAAATTGACAAACTGACGGACGAAGTGATGGCCAGGCTATCACAACCAACACTTGTCGAGAGGCACGGTGCTGTCGGCAACAGTGGAAATAGATAGATCATACCCCGGATCCCTGTGGCCACTTAAAGTCTTAATAGGCCCCCCAAAGCGAGCGAATGTCCACCAAAGAGCTGCGCTTCGTATTGCGGTGCCGAGGGTGCGGAAAAGCCGCAGGGTGTGAAACCAACTGCCCAGCATTGTACCACCAATCTCAACCGTGCGGTGGCTTCTGGTTTGGTGTCCAAAGTCCCCGTTCTTGGAATATACATTGAAGTTTGAGCAGGTTCAAGGCCCAGGGCAGGCCCAGGGCACTGCAAGGCTGCCAGGAGGTAATGGTTTAGGACAATGAGAATGAGGGGCCTGATACTTTCATTCGCTGGTTCCTAGGCAAGAGAAGAACAGGGTCTGGCACATGGCGCCGATCTTGTGCGTTTTCGAGCCCTTAGCACACTGTGGGCTGTGGGAAGTCCGGTAATGCCCGCCTAAGACAACCTTTGAACTGTTGAGCGTTGGTGCTCGCGAGCCCCGCAGACGGTAGCAAGAAACAAGCGAGAAAAGCTGAAAGGGTGATTTTCGCCCAGTCTGGGCCGCCAAAGAACCGAGAAATCAGGTTGGTTCCAGCATGAATCGGGACCGATAGCTGACCAAGGGCGCTTGCAGTATCTCTGTGCGCAGCTCGGTTTCCCAATTCACCATGACGGGAACGAGCCCAGGTCCCAGTGACAAGAAGTTTAGGAGCAAGTCGTTCAGCCTCTCAAACGTCGGTCGGGACAATCGCTTGGACACTTTTAGCATTCGGCCAACAAACCAGGGTCTTTCGGTATGTAACAGGACAGGATTGCTACTTCCGCTCAATAATATCTGTATCAGTGCCTCCACTGAGATATGTCGATCCAAGTCGTTGTGCACGATGTTGTCCATGAGCTCAGCAAAGAATGCCTCGCTGTTCTCGATCGAGTGCCGGTATTCCCAAATGGCTGTATTGATCGTCATCAGAGCAGCCAACCTGGAAATAATCTGCTTGAACTGTCCCGTCTCCGTGTAGCGTGGGCCGTTGGGACTTGCCAGGAGGTTGTAAAGGGGTTGTCCAGGTGAAAAGACTGAATAGCGCAAGGGCTGTTGATTCCTTGAGATCGGGTTTACTTGCAGGCCTGCTTGAACGAGGGCAAGGTGTTCGGCGCATTTGAGGAACGTGATGAATTCGTCACACTGCTCCACGATCTCATTACGAGCTATAACCTCAGCTTCTTGTTGGGTTGAGTGGCATGGTGATGACTGGTGGTCAAAGTAGAATGTAGCACCATGACCTTTATAACCTGAGAAAATGTAATCGGACCAATTGATCAGCATCTGTAATCTGTTGTTTTGGACCAGAGCTGCAGGTCCACCCCGATCCCTGATCTTTTGCACCACAGCCTCCCAGTGCATCCATGCGTATACACGGCGTTCGATACGCGGGTCAAAGTCCTCCAATGCCGCAGCAGAGATTGTGGCGGATATGGTGGCATCTGAAGTGTCATGAGGGAATTGCTGATAGTGATGAAGGAGCAGTTGCGATGCTTTGGCTCGATGTTCGATGGCAAGACGTGTCTCTGGGAGACCTTGAACCCATGCCTGGGTGTTGGCAGCGTGGACGAGAATGGTGTTCTGGAAACACACGGCCCCTTTCATGGCTTCGGGAATGAAGACGGTGAGATACCAATTGTGTGCAAGCGGGCTACGTCTTTCAAACCCATATGAGCACGCTGGCATGACATTTGCGTAGAAATCGAAGAGCTCCTGGTCTTGAGGGCTCAGTTCCATTGGTAGAGCGTCGAACGGGTCGGTCCTTGCAGCACTCAGATAAGATTGTGGTTCCGGACTGAGAGATGAAGGGCCAGCCGATGTCCAGTGCCGTTTCTGCGGTGATAATGAATCGGTGGACCTAGTAGAAGACGGCGGCGTGAATGGAGCATCAGGGACCATATCTGCCAACTTGGCAAAGGCTGTCGATCCTAGACGGAAGGTAGTAGAAGAAGGCTTCGTCCGTGCCACCCCAGGACAGGGAGGTTGACGATCGATCTCTTCGACGGTACCATCCAGGTTCTCCGTTACATCTGCTCCTTCATTTGCCCCCATTGCAGGGTCCTGAAAGTCCGCGGGGATGGAACGCGCCGTTTGCGGACGTCGCTGGTGCGATCGTGTCTGCGATCTGGGCCTGTCTGGCCTCTTTCGAGTCGGTGCTTCAGCTCCGTCGCCGGCCTTTGTCTGTGAGCGAGCCTCCCATCGCTTCTCTCTCATGTACTCCTGCATGACATGGCGCCGCACTTGGGTGGCATTGGAACCCATCGAGGTGACATCACTATTGTCAATGAACTGAAATCGACGCTGTGGTTTCTTTGAACCAGGGGTAGACATGGTTGGGACTATAGTTGCTGAGGGGGTTCGAATTCTCCCGTCTCAGATCCCAAGGCTGTGTAGGTTGTGGCGATGACAGGTCCCCAGCCTTATTGAGTCCAGCGGACGATCACAGGACAATTTTAAACACATTAGGAGGAAAAGAATATGACCATCCAGTCACCATAGAGGGAATAGCTGGTTGAAGATATTAGCATACTCGTCATGACTTTCCGTGAATCTTCAGGAACTTTGCTCGTACATTCAGGGAAGTCCTCGATGTCTGCTTTTGGAAGTGAAGGGAATCCGGCCACCAAGGTGGGATATCCTGACTTTTGAAGACCAGCGATCTGCCTTTGTCCGCCGTCTGAGAGTCGACTGAGCAATATACAAATTCGTACTCGAGTGCTCGGCAGTCGCCGGGGTGGGTTGCTTTACGACGGAGAACCGAATTGGCAATTGGTGTGTGTCCAGAATGTCTTGGTAGGGGATGTGGATAGGCAGTCATCGTTGCACTGACGGCGGGTTGGTGCATGTCAAGAAGGAATAGGCGTGGCCACTAATCACTTTTTCTCTTTCAGGCGGGTTGGAAGTCTGATGCCAGTGGTCTTTGACCAACAGAAATGCTGGGATAGGGTCAAAGAGTCCTTGACCAGCTGGGCTTCGGCTTGATGTTAGTCAGTACCTGCTGTAGGGGGTTCTTGCCTGTTAGATGCCCATCATTATCTGTTTTGGGGGCTTACCAAAGGCTTAGGAACCACAGCACCAGCCGGCACTAGCAGACGGGCCCAGTCTGCCAGTGTCCCTAGTAGCCTGTACTCGTAGGGGTTTAAGGAACCCAGTCGCCCCGGGGTCGGCCCTGCAACAGCCCCAGCTTGGCTATAAATGCCCCATAGCGAGAGCTTGCTCGGGACCAAACCACACACACGCTGGTCAGATCTTGATTCAGAGAACGGGCTAGATCCTTGCAATCGATGTGCTCCTCTTGAGCCCCGCCGATCGATGTTGTCAAAGCTAATCCAGGTATGAAACCAACTAGTTCACGAACCATACGAGTAGACGTTGCGACATGGTGACAAATATAGAGATAGCAATATGGCAACCCAGAGGTAATGGGTAATCAATGCCCAGACAAACTCCTCGTATACAGCTGTGTACTTTGGTGCTGGCTGAAAGCGCCCCATGCACGACTGGTACTTTTGCAATTCATAGTATGTTGCGAAACGAGGATCGTGGGAATGTAGCCAGACACTGGCCGGCTCTGCGAAGCAAATGTAGGGATATGCCCTGGATGTTTTGGCGGCTGCAGCTTATAGCCAAATCCTTATGACTACCATATTTTGATGTTATTTACATAGGGCCTTGCGCACACATAAACAGGCGTCTACGCTGCACTGGGCAAATTTATCTATCTCTTGTTTTGTTTCCATCTTATTCCCTTCAAGGGCGTTTCTTTCACTGATATAAAGCGGTCCATGCTCCGCCTCGAGAACAGTACAGAATCACGTGTGATGGCCGAGGAGGGTTCGAAGAACAGACCGGAGGATATGGAGCGGCAAAGGGTATTTTTGTGACCACGGTAGGTAGCGACAATGAGATACATTCTTCACTGAGGCCGTTGAGAAGCTGGCTGTCGTCAAGGGGAGGTCAACGTGGTTGCCAATGGCTCACCAGCTTGTCTATAGCACCCTCCGTGTCCGGTTTGAGGACGGAGATGAAGCGACAGGAGCTTTGTGGAAACTTGTGACGGTATGAGTGGGCAAAATGATGCGAAACTGGACAAGGACACGGCTGGTGACGGTTTTTGCTTTGCTGACCGGCCGCGAGATGCTTCCTGTTGGTCCCTCGCCCAACCTGCAGCGCCAGCCATTGGCTCCTTTGTCGCAGATTTCCTCTCCAGCGAAGTCTCCAACACTCCAGCCGTCTCAGAAACTGCCTCAGCCAGTGGTCATAACTCCTTGGCTGGCTTCTTTGACTCGTCGACTATCCCTATCTGAATCCCAGGTCCAAAACCACAAACCACCCCGGGCGACATCGACTACGGACGGTGCCGACAAGTAGTGGAGTGTCTGTCGAAAACTCCCCCCCTCCCCCTTGGACCCTGAGCTTTCCTCGTCTTGCACTTACTTGGGCCACCGTCCCTGCGCCTTTGCTGCAAACTACCCGTGCACTTACTCTTACACTGCATCAAGCGGTGTCTACTTACCAGTCTCGGCCAGCTGTCAGCCAGCTCGATCCTTTCATCAAACTGCAGGTCCCATTAAACCACCGTGCAACTTTTACACGGCGAGCTCGACAAACACGTTCAACAAACGCGCCTAACCGCTGGACACGGTTCGCGTTTGCCAACCCGCCGCTCATTCTGTTGAACCTGCGCCAAACCACACTGGCATTTTGCCTGCCACCGCAAGTGGAAAATCGTCGACACGACGATAACTGCTAAATCTCAGACTTGCCCGACACCTCTTTGGTCGTTCACAAAGTCCAGTCAATCTACAAACCATGGCGCAACCGACACAATCCATAAAATGCGTGGTAACTGGCGACGGTGCCGTGGGCAAGACTTGTTTGCTGATATCCTACACCACCAATGCGTTCCCCGGCGAATACATTCCCACAGTCTTTGACAACTACTCTGCCAGCGTCATGGTAGATGGAAAGCCCGTTTCACTGGGATTGTGGGATACAGCAGGACAAGAAGATTATGACAGATTACGCCCATTATCGTATCCGCAGACCGATGTCTTCCTCATATGCTTTTCCATTGTCTCACCTCCAAGCTTCGACAACGTCAAAGCAAAGGTACCTACCCATCACGCCTGGTAATCTGATAACGTTGAAGCTAATAGCCTGGTTGTAGTGGTATCCCGAGATTGAACACCACGCCCCCAATGTACCCATTATCCTCGTCGGAACAAAGCTAGATTTGAGGGAAGACAAAGCAACAGCAGACAATCTTAGGGCAAAGAAGATGGAACCGGTGTCCTATGAGCAGGCACTAGCGGTGGCGAAGGAGATCAAAGCGGTCAAATATCTTGAGTGTTCGGCACTCACACAACGAAATCTAAAGAGTGTCTTCGACGAAGCCATCAGGTAAGAGACCACTCACTTCCTCCATGACGTGTATGGTACTCATCTTACAACAGAGCCGTCCTCAATCCTCGGCCTACGACAACCAAGAAGAAGTCGAGGTGTACCATCCTCTAGTGGTCTTCAGGGTCCGGTTCTGGGGTTGGGGACGTTTTGGGATTTTGCGTTGGTTTGACTCCAGGTGCATCGCAAGAGGTGGATATAGACTTTGTCTGCGTTGCCGTTTCCTCATTCCGAAACAATATGTCCTTCGTGTGGGCTAGCCAGCTTCTGAATGCATATCAGAAAGATTTGGCTTGGTGATGGTCTTGCGCATACGAATAATACAGCGGCAATCTAGGTGGGAAAGAAGGCGTTGATATAGGAAGGGATTCGCATCCGACATCTTGAGCGGCGGCACCAGCAGCGTCAGCGGCAGCAAGCCCCCTCCAAGACCACATTGCATTTTGGTAGTACAGCGAAATCTTTGATCGGTCAATGCTTCACACGAGACAGTCGACTGGGATGAATGTCCCCACGGCCATCCTTGACCTCGCTGCCAGCCACAACAATGGCATTTGCACCAGTCTCGGGCGGGCCCTTTTTCTTGGAATCGACCTTGTCGCGCTCAGCTTTCTCCTTCAACCTTCTTCGTTCCCTCTCTTCTTTGAGCTTGTCATTTTTCGTTTTGATTTTGGCCTTGCGGTCCTTACTCTTGCCACCACCACCAGCAGTCAGCTCTACATTTATCCTTCGACCTTTGCTTTTCTTTCCTTGCCTCTGCGACTGTAGTTCCCCGAGAGTTCCCTGATCACTGGCTGCGCCTGTTTCTCCATCTTTGCCATCAGGGTCAAACAAGGAGTGGTGATATAGCTTCAGGCATGTCTTCATTTTGTCGTAGTTGTCGAATTCGACGAATGCAAAGCCTTTACTTTTCCCAGTCTTTTTATCCGTCGAGAGGCGCACAGAAGTCGGAGAGAGTTTCGAGAAGTGTACTTTTATTTGCTCTGATGTGGTCTCAAAAGGTAGATTGCCAACAAAAACAATAAATCGGGTGGGAGTCGTCGTTTTCTGTTCGTCGTCATTTTTCTCTATTTTTGAGGCTTTTCGTTTCTTGTGTGTCTCGGGGACGTGCTCTTGCGGCTCTACATTGCCTGCACTTGTTTCTGTTGAAGTTGGATCCGGTGTAGGAACGACCGTATTGATGGCTGCAGATGTTTCTTCTCCTTTTCCATGATCTCTCGACTTCTTCTGCCTTTTTGCTCTCCTCTCCGATTTTTCTTGCTTCAGCTGTCCCTTCGACTTTGCGTTTGCGGGGGGATTCTGTGCGACTGTCTGAGACTTTTGGTCCGACTGTGGTTGAGTAACGATCGAGTCATCCTGAGCCTGATCCTGGCTCTGGGCCAGATCTCTCTTTCTCTTCTTGGACATTCTCGGATACTGTCAAGACAATAGGGATAATATCTTAGTAAGAAGGGATCAGTACATAATCTGGCGGACAAAAGTAGTCATTCAAGGCACCATTATAATAAACTTGTGCGAGATTGGAAAATTTGACCTGCGGACCTGGTCGGCTGAAATAAGTCACCAGGGAAGATCGGAGGGCAACGTCATGGGCCCCCCGAGGCAGCCGCCAATCGACCACTTAATTAACGGGTCTTCCTCTCTTAACCTTATAGGCTTCTAGTACGCAGGGTCAAGTGTCCCAGTAGTATTGCCCCATTCATCAACTCCAAGTTCCGCCTAAATGCCTACCTGATACAGCGCAACCTGTCCGGAGTACCTCGTACACCTAGGGGACAGAGTACCAATCTTTCTCTTCTTTTCAAGGTTGCCTTGAGGTTCGGGTTCCAATAAAGTCCATTTCCACTATCCTTAACCTGCGTCGGTCAAGACTCTTGCCAACACCTTCTCTCCGCTATGATTGACAGATAAACAAAGGCACTCATCGTCTCTCGTCCCACGCCTCAGAAGCTCCCCCTCAGCCGCTCACTTCCAGCACCACCATGGCAGTCTATGCCTCTCAGCTTGGGGCCAAAGGGCCTTTCCTGAATCATGCTCCTGTCCTGCCAACCCATGCGCCTCCAGCTGGTACGTTCTTGCCTGGCACAAAGGTCCAGGTGGGAGATCACAGGGTCATCATCGAGCGCTATCTCTCCGAGGGCGGCTTTGCCCATGTCTACGTTGTCGTCCTCCCGCGGCCCGTCGATGGAAACCAGAAAGCTGTGCTCAAGCGAGTGGCCGTCCCTGACAAGGAGCATCTGGCCAACATGCGGACAGAAGTCGAAACCATGAAAAGGCTGCGGGGCCAAAAGCACATCGTCAAATATATTGATTCGCATGCATCCCAGCTGAAAGGCGGTGGATATGAGGTGTTTCTTCTCATGGAGTTTTGTCAGGGAGGAGGGCTCATCGATTTCATGAATACCCGTCTGCAAAACAGATTGACCGAACCCGAAATTCTGAAGATCTTCACGGATGTGGCTGAAGGAGTTGCGTGCATGCACTACCTGAAGCCTCCTTTGATGCACCGAGACCTCAAAGTAGAGAACGTTCTCATTGCCACAAGTGGTTCGTCAAGAATATACAAACTTTGCGACTTTGGTTCTGCGGCTCCCGCCAGACCTGCTGCCACGACCGCTGCAGAAGGACGTTTGATCGAGGACGATATAAACCGCCATACGACATTACAGTACAGAAGTCCAGAGATGATCGATGTCTACCGGAAACAGCCCATCGACGAGAAATCCGATATTTGGGCTCTTGGAGTGTTTCTGTACAAGCTCTGCTACTACACCACCCCGTTTGAAGATGTTGGGCAGATGGCCATACTAAACGCCAAATTCAAGTTCCCCGGCTATCCACGATTCTCCGACCAGCTCAAGCTGCTTATTGCCTCCATGCTTCGGGAACGACCGACAGACCGACCAAACATATATCAGGTGCTGCAAAAGGCGTGTCAGTTGGACGGCCGGGACTTGAAGTTCGAAAACATCTATGCTCGACGGACGCAATCAGAGAGTCGTAAAGACCAAGTGCTTCCGCAGCCCTCTAGCTCCCAATCTAGAGCTGGCGCAACCTTGTCTCCTCCCAAACCGGCAGCTCCTCTAACTGTTCCTGATATCGAACCAATGCGACGGGGGCGACCCACCAAACCGGTATCTCACCATGGCTCAGCAAAACCAAGCCCGTCGCCATTACGAATGATGGACAATGCACACCCTGATCCCTTCGCAGCGCTGGACGGGAACAAGGGTTCAGTCGAAGATGAGCTTTCTTCCAGGTTCCCGACGCTGGATCAGTTCTCGTTAATGACTGACAAGGGCCACAAGTTTGCGTTTGACTCTCAGCCGGAGAAAAAGAGAGAGTCTGTCGACCCCAATCTTGCACAGCGAGTCACCAATGCTCTAGCGGATGATGCATTTGCGAGACCTCCCAGTCCAGCCAAGTCGAAACCAATCGTAGAGAAACCACTCCCTGCTAGTAAATCGCAGACTGTGTTACAGCACAAGAAGTCTTTGGAAGATAAAGAGACGCCTGCAAGAGCCAACGCTGGAAATCCGCCACCGGTCACTGCGCCAAAGCCATCAATGGTGTCTACCGGGACCATGACGACGCCTTCACCACCCCCAACCACGGATGCCAAACCACTTCCAGAACGTCCAGTACACCGCTTTCCTCCCAAAGAGCTGTCGTCAACGCCGCCATCGGCGCACAAGTATGAGACTATGGAATTGCCTCCCAGGGAGCCTCGATCTGCTCGTAACAAAGACGTATCAAGGCTGGCAAATCTACTCAGAGAAGACGGGCTGAGGTCACAGCTTGCTGGGGACCTGGAGCCAAAGTCGCCAACTTCATCACGCCCATCTTTAGAAGGGGGTCGTCCGACCATGCGAGAACTCAATTCCGGGGTGAGCAGGTCAAGGTCGCTCAATTTCAGGAACCGACCCGCCAGCGTTAACATCGGGGCGCGACCGACTCACATCAAAGACAAGGAAATCAGGAGCCTTGATTATGAAACGACATTTAAGAGTGCGGAACCTGAAATGGCGCCCTTGACGCATGTCGAATCGGGAACAAATATTACCTCGGATGTGGACTTCCTCAAGGCGAGAGAGGAGGAAGAAAAGTCGCGCAGACACCATAGAAGGCTAGGCAGTGGTTCAAGACACCTTAAAAGAGCGAGTCTGCCCTCGATCGTGCCTAATATAGCGGGAACGACCAAACTGTTGGCAGGCAAGTTCGGAGACGCCTTTAAGATGTTTGAAAGCAATAACGACCCGACTCATCATCGACAGCGGAGTGATTCACCTTCCCGCGACCCCATCAACATTCTAACCCCAATTGCAGGTTCTGAGGCCACAGATCTCAGCGATGACCGGCTGCCATGGGATGACATGGAGGATCTATCGCCTGAGATGAGACGGGAGATGGAAAAGCGCAAACTCGAGGCTGAAGAAAGAAGAGTAGCTCAAGCAGCCGCAGAATACAGGCAGCGACTAGCAGCAAGAGGAGGCGGGAACGTTGGCAGCAATGCAGGGGTGGGAAGGTCAGCCACCATTCAGAACAGGATGAAGTCTTTGCTGAGCGAGAACGATCGACCTGCGCACAAGACAGCCACCGGCTATGGTCATTACACCGAATCTCCTCCCCCCCAGCACGGTTCGCCGGACGACAGGCGGCTACCTCAGCCGTCCAGAGCGCCCCAAGCTCATTTGACCGGGAAAATGGAAAGACACGGCCTCCCTGAAGTTGTGGCATCTGCACCGGCTTCTTTGACTGATCTTAGCAGAGTAGAGCCCCGCGGACAGAAGCCGACTGCACCACCGAAACCAAAGGTGCTGCGGACGGGCGGTATAGCAGAGTCGGCCGTGGTGAGCACGAGTGAAGCGAATCCCGCAGCTACGAACGTGGATGAAGACTGGGAAGCAAACTTCAACAGAAGATTCCCCAGTCTTGCTGGGATTGAAATGGTGGAAACCTCGATAGATGGGCCAAAGACCACAACCACGGTGCGCACGAAAGAAGTATGACGGAGAGTTAGAGAGTACATGTAGAATCTATGCCAAGGAGACGCATTTTCTATTTGAACTTGACACGGCCGTGTAGTTGGCATCGAGGTGAATGAGACTGAAGTGAAAGTTTGGGTGGTTGACGAAGGCTGCAATTTATGAACTGAACACTTGTGTCTCTCTTCCTTTTCCGACCTCATCTTCCACCGCAACTGCCTCTCTTCTTCAGTATCTAGACACGATCTTTTCAAGCCTCAGCACCACCCTCTTGATCAACAACACCTACGTGGTACAACACCATCCCACTCTCACCTGCGCTGTCCTACCAGACTCCGTATGGCACCATACAAGGCTTTGACCCCTCGGCGTGGGGCGGCGCCGGCGGTTCGCGCTTCAAACGCCCAAATGGCCAATAATCCGCAGTCACCCGCCGATCGTGACAAGGATCATAGAGCCGGACCCCCACAAGGCACGGGCACTGCGAGTGGCGCTGGGACACCCACTATCAGGGCTGGAAGAGTTGGCAGAGGCTTTCGAAATGATCCCACACAACGCGTTGTCCGTCATCAGAAGACACCATACGTCTACAGAATCGGCATACGCCTTCCCAAGGAGAAGTTGCGACAGTTCCCGCGGTATAACGGCAGGGTTCGCAAGTTTGTGTCCGACGGTCCTGGGTCTTTTGTGACTCTGAAAGTTCCCCAGTTGCATACCATCATCAGTCGGAGAGGGCAACATACTTCACCAGATACAGTGGTAACAGGGGTCTCGTCGGTCACTTCTCCTCCATCACCAGAGACGGTTCATTCTGGGGCGCCATCTATCTTCTCCGAGATCACGCCCTGCTCTGATTTCAGGACTTCAGCCACCGACGAGTCTTCACCGCAAGAAACCGGGGCAAACGACGGTCTGCGTGACGGGTGGAGTGGCACCGAGCACGAACTTCTGGCTGGCACAACTCGATCGGTTCTTGGACCCCTTGACAAGTCGTTTGCTTCCCCCGACCGCCCCCGAGCCGACTTTGAAGACTTACCCGTGGCCGAACGCCTTCTGAGTAACCCCAACGGCAACGGCGACGCGATGGCGCCTGTCAAGGATACCAGCAACGTGCACAATACTATCAAAGACATTATCCAACATCTGACCGACATCCAGATCCAGACCCACGGCTACATCCCCGGCACGCAAGATTTGTTGGTTGACAAGTTGACCGATCTAACCAACTCGCTTTCCCAGCTAAAGCACCAGACTTCGCCCACCGAATCTCCCAACAATTACATTCATCAAGTCGCGATTGCTCCGGAGATAGTGGACTACGTAGATGATGGTCGCAATCCGGATATTTTCACCCGAGATTTCGTGGAGAATGTGCAGAGAGGCAATGCGGTGATTAACGGCAAACAGCAGGCATTCAGGGAGTTTTCGGAGATTTTCGCTCAGAAGCTTAAGGAGGGAATCCCGGGCGTGAGTAAGGAGGTAGAGAGGGTATTGAGGAATGCTGGTTTCGATGAGGAACATGATGCTACAACGAATGGAGATGGACGGATGGATTCACAGAAAGAGGAATCAAACAACAACGGCACAGCAAATGGATGATGGCCAGTCAAGGGTCGACACTTACATCATGTCTACGAGAAACTCACCGTGCCAGCGAGGAATATTGATCGAGCCAAAGAGACTTACGGGAGCTTTGAGCTGACGAGCATTTTTGACGACAGGAATGAAGATGAAATCCTACCAAGTTAGTAGGAAGCTTCACAGGCTGGGAAACAGTATGGTTCTGGAGAGTTACACGTAAGCGTGCTTGGAAACACCAAGAGCTGGAACGGATGGGTTGGCCACTGTTTGACAAGGAGAAGAAACAAGCCATGCCCGAAGTCAGTTGTTTAGCCTAGCAGAGTGCAGAAGCGTGTTGGATGCGTCTTCATGTTCTCATCCTGCTACAAGGCTGAACTGGCCGCGACTTGGCTTGAATCGAGCAGCTTTGAGCTTGACCGGAGAAACTTCGCCAAAAGCTCCCCGTGGGTTGGCGTCATTGAATAATAATAACCAAAATGTCATGCCACCGAAACAGTCTAAAGTAGCATTTCATTACCTTGTATACAATCGTTAAGCTTTGCGTTTGTCATTCCAGCATCTTCGTGGTGATCAATCCGCGATGACTGCCTCTCCAGCTCGTGCTCTCCTCGCCAGGCGGGTGTGTCGTTGCACATCCTCGAAGCTGCCATCAGGTTACCCCCCAACATCAAGCCCCCGTCTCACTCGACTCCTCTCGAGCAGCACTCAGCACAATGAGCCCACAAGTCCACAGCCCTCGTTTTCCTCCCAAATCCCGACCTATGGCTCCTCGGAGTTGCTGCGCCGGAAATACCAGAAGACGAACCAGGAGACGGACGTCAGGAGGGACAAGGCAGAGCGAGCCAGGACGGTGAAGCGCATGCGCTGGGCTGGGTATGGGATTGCGGCTTGTACTTTGGCCATGTTTGCAACTATATCACTATACCCGGATCCCAGAAAAGAGAAACCGGCGGAAGCGTCCTCGAACGTTGTACGGCTCGACGCACCACCCTCCATCACCAACACCCTCGTCGACCCCTCTTCCAAGCCTCAAGACGTCGAGCAGATCCCCACTGGCACAAGCTCGATTCCCTTCTTCCCTCGAATCATCCACATTGCATCTGACGCTCCGCCATCTACCCCGGCATCTGCCAACGAAGGCACTCAAGCCGATGTGGAATACCAATTGGTTGGACTGGGAATTCGCACCGTGTCAATCCTTAGCATCCAGGTCTACGTGGTCGGCCTCTACGTTGCTGTCCCAGATATTGCCGCTTTGCAGAAGCGGCTCGTCGAAGCCGCCGTGCCGCCCAGCGAGAGCGTCGCGACGACCCTCGTGGCCGGCGAGAAATCCCAGCTGAAAGAGCTCCTGCTCGACCCGGTCCGCGGAGAGCAGATCTGGAACGACATCATCAAGGATGGCCAGCTCCGCACGGCTTTCAGGATCGTCCCGACGAGAAGCACCGACTTCATGCACCTGCGCGACGGCTTCGTCCGGGGCATCACGGCGCGCTCGGCCCATTTCGCGTCGGACAGACACGACGACTCCTTCCAGGATGAGTCGTTCGGCGCCGCGCTCAACGAGTTCAAATCCGCGTTCGGAGGCAGCGCGCGGCGGAAAATGCCCAAGGGCGACATCCTCCTCCTCGTCCGCGACGCGCAGGGCAAGATGACCGTGTGGAACGAGGACCACAAAAAGGGCAATCGCATGCTGATGGGGGTGGTGGCCGACGAAAGAGTCGGCAGACTCTTGTGGCTGGGCTATCTAGCCGGGAAGAACGTCAGCAGCGACGAGGCCAGACGGAACGTCATCGAGGGATGCATGGAGTTTGTGGAACGGCCAGTCGGGACGGTGGCGGCGCAGGTTGTATAAAAAAGACCCCCGTTTTCCCTCCAGCCCGTCTAAGATGGACATGCGATACAGTGAGACAGACGGTCCCCAAATCCTGGAGATGGAAGTCTCACTTGAGCAGGCAAAGATCAAGATTTGACTGATATGCACGCGACTTGCCGCCCGAACTCGACTCCCCAAAATCATAGTCACCCCCTTTGAAAAAAAAAAAAAGGGGGGCACCTGTAAACATAGCGAAGCAAGGACTAAAATGGAAAATGGAAAATGGAAACCAAAATATGGTTTCAACAAGGACTAGCTTGGTATCTATCTACCTACCTGTTTAGTAGTATGACCAGAGCAGAGACTCATCATGGGATTTGATTTGATTTGATTCGATTCGTTACGACCTCAATGCGAGGGACGAGGGACAGAGAGCATATTAAGCCCTAAACGAGACCTGAAGTACTACTTACTGTACACAAGTTGTATGTCACCGCAAGCTTGCGATCTAGCGACTGAGCTGGCTGGCTGGCTGACTGATCGATTGACTTGAGCGAACGAGCAAAGAAACTTGCTTCTGGGGTTTGATTTGCTGGGCACCTCTACCATCTCTGAAACTGTGGTGGAAGCCGCGTTCCGGTTCTTGTTCCAATATCCTCTGCGAATTGCGACTGCTTTGATAAAAAGATGTTTGGACGCTTTATATGCAGGGCCTTTTGCTGGGCTGAGGGAGAAAGAATGGCGATAGACCGCCAAATAGTGCATGATCAGCATGATCAAGCTGCTTCGCTGGCTAGATCTGACCTGATTCACAACAACATGGGATGGGAGAGAAAAGATAACTCGTGCGCGGTTATAACATGTATTGGTGGTATATTCATCTATCACTCTTGGGCCTCTTGTATCATGGGTTCTTCTGCCTCCACTTCAAGCACGACGGAGTGTAGCCTCCGCCGGTTCCAGTCACATAAAAATCCAACCGCTGCGACTTGACCGGCGCAACGGCTCCATTCCAGAGGCCATTGCATTGCGTGTGGATTGAGTGTCTTTCTGTGTATCAGGGCTGCGAAGCCGATTACAGGGCACCTGCAGCGCTCAAGAGGTCGTTGAGTTGGCCCTTCTTGGCCTGCAGATCCGAGTTGCCTCCAATGTGCTTGTGGTCGATGAAGATGTTGGGGACACTGCGCTGGCCGGTGATTTCTTCGAGAGCGTCTTGGATTGCGGCGCCATCATCTGCACAAGAACGCAAAAAAAGGGGGTGTCAGCCAACTCCCAGAAGTCAAATGCTCGAGGCGCACATCATGGACAGCGCGGGGGGAGACAACGAGAAAAAGAAAAACATACCAACTTCATCCAGCTCGAGCAAGTAGTATTTGGCATGTGCCCCGTTCAGCAGCGACTTGGTTGCGCGACAGTAGGGGCAGTAACTCTTGGAGAAGACCACGACGGCGTTCTCGTCGATGATCTGCTGGGCCTTTTGTTTGGCGGCGGACATGGCTGCGGGTGATACTGAGGGCGAGGTGAAAAAGGTGCGGACGAGGCTGCGAAACGGGGAAAAGATTGAGGAAGCTATGGTGGCGGTATTGACTCTTGATCTCGAAGATATGAGAGAGGTGGACTTGGTTTTTATATTAAAACTCGCCCGCAAGAGACTAAAACCGCTCTCGTCTAGACTTCTAGTTTTCCTGGCGTTGTTCGGGAGAGGATTACCAATGAGGAAAGACAGCGATTGCGAAATCAGCGCAGGGGGGTGAGAGAGGCGCGTGCGGAAGATGAGGGGGGGATTTTGGGCAATGCAGATTGACAAATCTTGGAGACCGATGACGATGATGATGGAAGCAGCAGCAGGAGGAGCAGCAACAGCAGCAGCAGCGGGAGCAAACAGGAGGGGCTTGGTTCGGAGTAGCCTGACAAGCCTGAGTAGGTTATTGTAGGGCAAACGGAAGAGACGGCGATCAGTCATCACGGCATAAGGAACAGTTTGAAGCACGATTAGCCGGGAAATCCAAATATCGGGGAATTTCAATACAGTTAGATCACAGTGTCTCTTAAACTGGCGTGTCATGGGCTCTTGTCTGTCACTCCTCCCAGCCTTGTGGCCACGAGGCTGCGCAATCCGCCCAAGGCCACGATTATCAACCATGAGGACAAGGGGAAAAGTGCTCAGGGTTTCGACTTTTTCATGCTTGTACATGGGGTATCTGCCTTTTTGACACATTCAATCTGCGACAACTGATCCCGCCCCGTATCACCAATCGCCCAGGAGATGTCGTGGCCATTGGCTCTCGAATCGTTCTTCTTCTCCCAGTCTGTGCCTCGAGGCTCCTGACTGAACACGGTCTCTGATCTCCTGTCTCTCCTATCGAAAAACGGACTCGAAAAATAGTCAAAAGCCTACTTTGCCGCTCCCTTGCAGCTCTTTCGCGAAAGACCGCTCCACACACAAGAATCACCACAGCAAACACCCAACGAGGGACAAAAAAACTAACGAATCACTCCCGCTAAAATTGCAATCATGGAAACAGCAACCACAGGCCACACATCCCCCTTCCCACCTCCCACCAACAATCCCTCGCACAAATGAAAAAATCAAGCCCACGTCTTGTGAATGTGTGTACACAGAAGAAAGTGGTAGTGCCGTTTCTGGCCTTTCCCTCACATAACAACACAGCACCCGCATCCCTTCTCCTTGACCTTCTCCTCCATCTCGTCTTGCTGCATCCGCTGCACCTGCATCCTTGTGTTCGGTTGGGTGGGCACAGATGTGATACTGCCCATGGTAGTGCTTTGCACGGGATTCGGGACTCGTGGCATCGTACTGTATCCGCCATTCACGCTTCCTCCCGTACTCGGCCTCATGCTACCAGCCCCAGAGTTTCTGCCGTTTGGCCTGGGTTTTAGAGGCCAGGCACTTCCCTCATCTGCGCCGTCATTCTCCTTTCCGTCCGGCTCTGTCGACTGAGGAATGACTGGCGAAGGCGACTTCACCTGCCCATTGCCTGTATGAATCGCTAGAGGGGAGAAGTTCCTGTCGTATGTGCTCGGCACCGCGCCTTGGTCTTGCCACTGTGCTTGTTGCTGTCTGCGGGCATGTGTGGGGATGATCTGTTCTTCGGGAGGAAGCCTTGGATCTGGTTTATACATTGTAGCAAGCCACGGCGGATCTCCCTCTGGTCGATTCACTGCTGTCCGAGGGCGATCGAGTTCTCCGGATCTCGTTCCCGGTCGCTGGGTTGTGGAAGGTGCTGCGCCTGGTTTGGCATTTGTTGAAGGTTTCCTAGCCGTGGCAGATGTCTTGCGTCCGGCTGACGTGCCTGGCGGGGAGCCTTGGGCTCCTGTTTTGGGTCGGTTTTTCGTGGGGGATGATGATTTGGATGTTAGTTGCTTGTTGGGAACAGGTGTCGGGAGGAACGTAGAGTCGCCTTCGTCCTGCATCGTCTGACTCCCTATACTTCCCTTTCTGGTTCTGGTCTTGAAGACAGGGATACCGTCTTCGGGACTCATACTGTTACTAATAGTGCGCTTCCTGACCAGTGGGGTGTCTCGCTCAATTCTCTCTTGCGGTATGGGTAGAGGACTTGACGTCAACACCGGTATCTTTGAGCCAGATTTTCTCAGCGTCGGACTCAGGTATATTTGAGACGACGGGGTCTCTGCCGCGATCTCCTCGGGCGTGCGGAAATCCCAATTTGCTCTTTCGTCCTCTTCTGCTTCTGGCAGGGGCTCAGGCAGTCGAGTTTTGGTCTCCTCGGACTCCACCCTGCGGTATTCGGACGCGTTGCGGTCGTCACTTCGTCGACCTCGACTGGTGTCTCGTGGCGTGCCCTTGCTCACGCTCCTCCTCGCCTTGGCCAGGTTGATGCCTGCCGCCTGCAATTCCTCGCTCTCGATCTTGGCCAACTTGTCCCGATGGATCCAGCCCTCCGGGTCATCGTCGGTCGGCCGGTACATGTTCTCGGGGATGTCATTGTCGGCCGGGGTTTGGCTGACATTGCCACTACTCGGATTGCTCTTGTAGAGATCGAGCAGGCTGTCCGCTTCACTCCCACTGCGTATCAGGCTTGTCTCCCGCTGTCCCAACTCTTCAACTCGATTGTGCGGAGCGGCGGTTGCGACGGCCGGTCGTCCATTGACACCGGTGCTGTCTTTGCGGTTCGGCGCCAGTGCGGTCAACGGCGCACGCGTGGATCCCGAGGAGTTCTGACGCAGCCCTCCAGGACGTGTTTTGTTTGTTGCGGTCGTGTTCTGGCGTGTCATTTATTTTTCCCATGTCAGTTTATTCTGTCACATGAAAATAACGAAAACAAACTCCCCCAAAAACAGGAAAAAGATCCCAATTGCATGGGGGAAAGCGTGTAACGAACAAACAATAAAAAAACCCCTTCTTCTGTCCACACCGAGCGCGAAACTCACCTCTTGACTACTAGCGGAACCCACTGCATCGTACGGCGGCCTGGCCCCATTAACGACCATAGTCGACGAAGGTCCTGCAGTTGCTATGCCCGCCATCAGCAGTATCTCTTCAACCACTGTCGACGTGCGCAAATGCTAGGCCTCCCCTCCCTCTCAGTGTAAATGCGCCATGTACATACAACCGCGATAACCCCGATGCCCATACGAAGAAGGGACCCGCTTCCCAATCGAAAGATGAACCCTGACGCGACGGGGCGCAACGGCGATGAACTCGGGGAATAAGGTCCTCAACAGTCCGTAACGTCAACGAAGGGAGAGAGTGGGCGCGGCTCGCGGGAAAGAATGCTTCGTATCGAGGGGCTTGCAGAATGGCGGTCTGCAAAGGGGGCGAGAATGCGGTATTTCAGTGATCGAGGGTTCGAAGAGCGTAGATCAAAGGGCGATGCGAAGGTCAATGCTATAATATTATGGAAAAGGAACTATGCTTTAGCCAACAAAAGAATAAAGAGCACAATCCACTTGACACACACGAGCGCAGAGCTGGTAGGTTTGTATTATTGTTGCTTTGGGGATCTCGATGGACGAACGTCGGGGGCGTTATTCTCGCTTAATCTGACCTCAATGCCCCATTCATGTTCCATGTCAACAACAATCGGCCACTCACTAGCCACATAAAGGACCATAGTAATCTCATATGAGAACACGAAAAAAACGATTCATCTTGTCTTCTATGCTCAAAATGGTTCATCATTTCGTCAATTCCTCTGAAGGAATTATTTGTCATATACCAACTATACAATCCGGTTAATCCCTCTAAAAACCAGACAAATTCCTTTCCTTTGTTCAAGGCTGGCGCTACCCGTGTGATGGTGTAGGCTCTGATAAGTCCTGTCGACCTCGGTTATATGTCTGACTCCTCCCTCAGAATGCATATTATTCCGCCGCGGCTGCATAGGTCTCTTCATATCGGGTCAACCATGCTCATGCCCCCTTCACCCTCATCCGTTTCCAACCACCACCCAGGAAGCCTGTATTTAAATAAAAACACTGAATCGGAAGATGATCATGAGTGAACTCGTCCCTGATATATACGTGGGAGAAGGTCTGCAAAAAGTTTGTTCTCGGCTTGAATGGGTGTTGAGCTGAGAAATGTGTCAATGGTAAAGCCCTACCCATCAGGGCTTGTGTGAACCCATCAGTATGCGTTCACTGACGGGCGCCGTGGTGTCATTCGGGGGGCGTCCCGGAATCGAGATCGATCATCCGGCTCGCGATATTCGTATTGCGAATATTGCGGGTCCCGACGGGGGGCGATGTGGACTTTGTCCACTGGATATGGTCGCGCATACCTCGAGGGCTCTCGCTCTTCGGTGGGCTCGCCAAAGGACTTCTCACGACCGCTATTGTTGCGCGAAATGGGTGGTGTGTCGCGTGGGGACCGTGGGGACGGCCTCTCCTCATATCGCGTCGAGTCACCTCGTCGCATGGTAGGAGACGGTGGGATAAAGTCCTGCATCATAGCAGCGCCACGAGACGACTTCTTGGTGTCAACACGAGGACGCTCCGGTCTGTCCTTGCGACGGTCAGAGTCCCGTGATGGCTCCACCACAATGGGCTCTGGACTGCGGTACCTCCGGTGGGAGCGGTCTTCGTAATCACCGTAGACCTCCCGCACCCTGGGAGTCCGTCCATAGTCATCAGCGTCAGGATCTGGGTCAACAATTTGATACTTGGTTGAAGTTGTGGAAGGGTATCGGGGTTTGGTCGGTCTGGGTGGGCTTTCTTCTCGCATCTCAGGCGTGTGTGGACTCGAACTGCTGCCATATCCAGAATCGTGCATTGTTGTCTCACCATGCTTCAAGTTGGAGCCTTTGGAAGGAACCGAGTCCTTTCTACCTGAGGACACTTTAGGCGTCGGTGTGGTCTGAGAACGATGCAGGCCAGGAGGTGGTGCTCTGCGTTGCTCACCACGATCTCGGTGGCTTTCCCGTTCCCGCTCTCGGTCATGATCTCGTTCACGTTCTCTTTCCCGCTCACGTGTTGTGGGTCTCGGCGGAACACGTTCTTCAACATGAGCCCGGA